GCCGGTTGCTTGGCCGGTGCGTTGGACCGGGATGGACTGGCATGCTCTGCAGCATGGCAGGAGTCTTCCCCCTCAGAGGTCCCAGCCTGGCTAGCAGCTCGGCAGGTATGTCCCCAGGAATGGAATCAGCCCAGTTTGCAGCCCAGCATCCCCCCAGAGGCGCCAGTTAAAACTGAAGGCTGCGTGGAGCCGCTTCCTGGAATGTCTTTCAGGGCCTTATTCCCTGCGGCCGTTTTCCTTGGGACTCATTTGGGGTCTCTCGGCTCCCTCCAGATCCCTCCCTCCCTTGCTCTCCATGCCTGAACTCGGGGTCTCTTGGGACACCGAGCTGTGTCCCCCCTGCCAGAGCAGGGGCCTTCCTCCCCCGTCACAGCAGACACCCAGCAGTGCGTTCTGCCAGGCAAAGAGAAGAGCATCAGACGGATCCCGTATGAAAGCCAGAGAAGGGCTGGCTTGCTAGGGTGGCCCCTAAAGCCCCTCCGCAGCAGGATGAGCAGAGGTCAGCCCTGTTCTAGGGATGGGGGTCCCATTGCTGGACCTCATGCCCCGGACGATGCCTGGCTACGTGTACAGTGCTTTGCCACAGAGGGTGGGTTCTTCTCTTCTCGCTGCTGGCGTGTTGGTGACCCTGCGCCTGTTGTTGTTCCTCTGCATCCCTGCTGCACAACCACAGATCGAGGTACGGGGAGTGTCTGGGGGAGGCAGTTTCCACTTACCTAACTGAGTGATGCTGAAGTGGCCTGCCGTGTTATCTCTGCAGGGGCCAAAGTCTGCAGCTCAGAACTCCCCTAGGAGTCATGGTCGGGGGAGGTTTGCCTGCAGCCTTGAGCCCCGTGTCTGTGTGTATAGCTTTGCAGTGACTGTCACTCCTTTCAACCCCCCTGCCCTCCATCAGCCATAATTGGGGGGGTGAGGGGGAGGGGGAGCTGCAGCCTTCTGCAGCCATGCTCGAGAACCCAGGTCCCCTCTCCCATTAAAACCCTAGCCTTGTGCAGGAGCTGTTGCAGAGCCGGCAATGGCTGTTGCATTTGCAGACAGGACGCTGTATTCCCCTCCTTAACGCAAAAAGAATTCAAAGGAAGCCAGACCCTGGTCTTGCCCCATTGCTCGGCCAAATGTTTTATTTGGAAGCACTGTTTTCCCTGAGCCTGCTTCCAGGAGGAGGTTTTACTGTGTTCAGCAGTTCTCTTTGACGTGCCTTTGTTGTGTGTTTCGTTGTGTCCTACTGGCTGCTCTTCAGTCATTGGGATGCTACGTCCAATGGGCTTTCTCATTGCTGGGACATTGCATCCAATAAGAATGGCCATACTGGGTCAGACCAAAGGTCCATCTAGCCCAGTATCCCAGTGTTTCTTAAACTGACTTCCAGGACACACCGGTGTGCCGTGAGGCAGTCAGAGGTGTGCCGCGGAGAACAACAGAATTCAATATGGCTGTCCTTAAAGGGACGACTCTTTTTTTTTTTTTTTTTCAACAAAAAATCCTTGGTGTTCTCATAAAAAAAAATTATTGGTGTCCCTTGGTCTTAAAAAGTTTAAGAAACACTGCAGTAGCCTATCTTCCAACAGTGGTCAATGCCAGATGCCCCATAGGGGGTGAACAGAAACCAGAGCCCCCAGGTTGCTCTCTGCTTGCTAGGATGTTGTCGCCAATGGATTCTTGCACTTAATTGAAGCTTTTCCCTGAGTTCAGTGCCAATGAAGTCATGGAATAAGAGGGAAGGTCCTTTCCTGGATCAGTAACCGGGGAAAGGACAGAAAACAAAGCTTAGGAATAAATGGTCAGTTTTCCCAATGGACAGAGGTAAAAACAGAGTCACAACAAGCTGTATCTGTAATGGGACTAGTGCTGTTCGATATATTCATAAATGATCCAGAAAAGGGGGTAGACGGTGAGATGACAAAGTTTGCAGATGAAACCGAAGTACTCAAAATAGTTAATTCCAAAGCGAACTGCGAGGAATTACAAAGAGATGCCACAAAACTGTGTGACCAGGCAATAAAATGACAGGTGAAATTTAGGGTTGATAAATACAAAGTAACGAACTTTGGAAAACATAACCCCAACTGTACATATACTACCATGGAGTCTAAATTAGCTGTTACCACTTAAGAAAGAAATGTTGGTGCCATCTGCTCAGGGTGCAGCAGCGTGACTAGAATGTTAGGAACTACAGTACTGTAGACTTCCGATAATCCGGCATCTTTGGGACCTAGATGGTGCCGGATTATCGGATATGCCGGAGTATCAGGAGGTACTGCATACTCCCAACCCAATCCCCCTCCGCCCCCAACCTTATGCTCAGGTCCCCCGGAGCCGCCAGTACAGCTGCGGGTCTCCCTCCAGCTGGGGCACGTGCTCTGAGCCGCCGGCTTTTCAATGAGCTGGCCGGGACACTGTGCGTAACCCAATCCCACTCCCCTCCCCTTTCCCAGAGCCAAACACCTCCCCTCCTTGCTGTAATCCATGTGAGAACGGCTGACCTGAGCTGTGCCGGGTTCCGTCCTGGTTCCGTCAGGAGCGCTTGCCATTTTGATGCCCGACTGTCGGGAGTGTTGGACAATTGGGTGCCGGACTACTGGAGTTTTACTGTATTAGGAATGGGATATAACATAAGACATGGTTTCCCAAACTTTTTTGGCCACAGAATCCCGATGGGGTCTTAAAAATTTGGCGGAGCTGTTAAAATATTGTGATTTTTTTCATTCAATAGGTACCCAAATGAATAGACAACGCTTTGGAATTTGATGTTTATTTCTTGCATATTTCTTATACATTCTTTTTTCCCCAAGACAGCTATCAGAAAATTAGTAATAAAATAACAGGGTCACATGACTGCCATTAATATTTTCTTGTGGTTCCCCCTTGACCCATTGTGCAAAACCCCAAGGCTCCATAGAATCATAGAACTAGAAGAGACCTCAGGAGGTCATCAAGTCCAGCCCCCTGCCCAAGGCAGGATCAATCCCTACTAAATCAACCCAGCCAGGGCTTTGTCAAGCCAAGACTTAAACACCTTTAGGGATGGAGATTCCACCCCCTCCCTAGGGAACCCATCCCAGTGCTTCACCACCCTCCTAGGGAAATAGTTTTTCCTAATGTCTAATCTAGACCTCCCCCACTGTAACTTGAGACCATTGCTTCTTGTTCTGTCATCCTTCACACAGAGGACACTTTGGGAAACCCTGACATTAGACAATATATTGATGAGTGTGTGTGTGTGTGTGTGTGTGTGTGCGCGCGCGCGCACCCACACCTTAAATACTGCGAGCAGTTCTGGTGACCTCATCTCAACAAAGATATAGTAGAATTGGAAAAGATAAAGGGCAACAAAATGATGAGGGGTATGGAAGAGCTTCCAAATGAGGAGAGATTAAAATGACTGGGACTGTTGAGCTTAGAAAGAGGCGATTAAGGTGGGAATTTGATAAAGGTCGGTAAAATCATGACTGGAGGAAGTGCATCAGGAGCTGTGATTAGCCCCTTCATGTAACACAAGAATCAGCGGTCACCCAGTGAAATGAATAGGCAACCAGTTTGGAAACCCCAAGGAAGCAGTTCACATCATGGGAGCTTGTCACCTGTGGAACTCCTTGCCAGAGGATGTTGTGATGGCCGGGAGTATAACTAGATTCCAAAAAGAATAGTGATAGAAATGTAGCCGTGTTAGTCTGGTGTAGTCCTGTATTTTGTTTCAGATTCCAAAAAGAATTAGATAAATTCACTGAGGATGGATCCATCATATGGTTATTAGCCAAGATGGTCAGAGATGCAACCGCAGGCTCTCGATGTCGCTAAACCTCTGCCTGCCGGAACCTGGGACCGGATGAGAGGATGGATCACTCAACAATGGCCCGCTGGGGCATCTGGCATTGGCCACTGTCAAAAACAGGACACTAGGCTAGATGGACCTTTGGTCTGACCCAGGATGGCTGTTCTTATGCAAAGGATGGGAAAGGCTTTTACTTCCTATCCTCAGGATGAGCAGGCTGGACCTGGGAGCGTCTTGGTGCCCCTGGTTGGACTGTCTCACTCTGACTGGCGCATGGTGTTCTTTTTGTCTGGCTGGGATAGATCCTCGAAGCAACCCCCCTGCTGGAATCCTTCGGAAATGCCAAAACCGTGAGGAACGACAACTCCAGCAGGTTTGGGAAATTTGTGGAACTCTTTCTGGAGGAGTAAGTAACGACGAGCCTACAAGTGTGCCCCCAACACCCCGCTCTGTGTGTCTGATACTGGCCCCAGTCCTGGGGAATCTGCCCCGGGGTCCTGTCTCTGGGCTGCTGACTTGAGGGGCCATTAGAAACCCGGGGAGATGTTAGATGCTTGTGCTACACAGCTGGGATGGGACGGTTCTGTTCAAAGCATGGGTCCAGTGCAACTCCGTGGGCTGGGTGGTTGGATAACCCAACTACAGGCAACTCTTTGTGGAAAGGCGCCCCTCTTGGCAGACTGTGTCCTTGTCCCTCATGGGGAGGAGGGAGGGATTGTTTGAGTTGCGGGGCCTGCTTTTCAAAACCCTGTGTGCGTGCGTTGCACAATTCATTTGCACTGCCAGTCGTGGGACCCTGAGCACTGCCCGGCAGACGTGTCACCGGCCACACGTGCACCCAATCGCTAGAGCGGCACATGCGGTCACGGCAAATATTGGGCCCTACAAATATTCCTCCTGTTAAGCTCCGCCGGGCCCAACTGACACGGCCTTGGAGAGGGACAGCTCTTTCTGGGGGGGGGGGGGGTGTGAGAAATGCTTCCATTCACGGGGACACCAGCTCCCTTGCACAAATGGCGTCCTCAGTGGTGTGTTCCTGGCACGTGCAGAGAAGCAAGATAAAAACACAACTGCTCTCACTGGAAGCTTGTAAAGCCGTGCGAGTTTGTTTCTTGGGATGCAGGAACTGAAACCAGAGCGACAAAGCAGGCTGCTCCCTGAAACAAAGGCGCACGATTCACCCTACATTGCTCTTGGGCTGGCTGGCTGCAGACTGACTGCTATACTACAGAGTGCTCTAGCATGCTAGCAGCACTGGGAACCCATCTCCCCCTTGCACTCCCCTCCCCGCTCATAAAGTGATAGCTTGCAATTCCTACACAGTTCTCACTACACCACACGCAGCAGCTCAAATCCTCCCGGTTTCAGCTTGGTCCTCTCGCTTAGCCTGGCAATCAAGCAGCTATTGTGGTTTCCTGACTGCCCCTCCATCCATAAAGACCCCGCTGATGTGGCTTAATGCACAGCTGGAAGGCACGCAGATGCTCTGGCGATGAAGGCAGCATGAGATCCTCTGCAGAACAGACTAGAATCCATCTCTCCCCATTGGAGAGTAAGGGGGAGGTCCTCTCCTAGCTGTCCAGCATGCCATTCTTCAACGCTGGCTTTTAGTGCAGGGGGTTTCGCTGCCGTCTGCCAGGCTGCAACAGCCAATCCATTGTCTTGGGTGGCTGCATGGTTGGCCCTTTGCCCGTCAACAGCAGGCAGGTGCCATACTAGCTCAGCTGTGCAGGGGGCTGCTGCACTGGTAGCAGGGTACCCACTGGGCTGAGTTCTGCAGCCCATTTGGCTAGGCTGCAAGCAAACCCCATGGACAATGCAGGCCCAGCCCCCAGGTGCTAACCTTCCTCTCTCCCAGAGGCTTGATCTGTGGTGCCATAACCTCCCAGTACCTTCTTGAGAAATCAAGGATCGTGTTTCAGGTGAGTGTCAGTCCCTCCCCCACCCCCGGAGGCCATTGCCGTGTCCAGCTGCTTCCTCAGCCTTCTCCCTCTCCTGCCTAGGCCAAAAACGAGCGGAACTATCACATATTCTACGAGATGCTGGCTGGCCTTCCGGCTCAGCAGAAGCAGCAATTCTGCCTTCAAGATGCAGAAACTTACTATTACCTGAACCAGGTATGGAGCCCACGTGAGCTCAGCAATCAGCCCCCCTTGAATTATTATTTCTACGGTGCAGCACCCGAAAGCCCCAAGCAGGATCCAGGACCCTCTGTCCCCAGCCCTGGGCAAATACACCGGAAGATGCCTCCCTACCCCCAAATTGCTGACAGTCTCGTGTCCCAGTGCTGCAATTCCATTTCTTCCTGCTGCTGACATAGTACCATGTCCTTGTGACACTCAGGTGGCTTCGTTCCCCAGATTGCAAAATCCCCAGTTCCAGTAAATTTGCATCCCCTGTAGCGGCTAAAGCCTGGGCCTCAGTCTGCATGTTACTCAGATACGCTTGGTCTGGGACCTTTGCAGGGGGGGAACTGCGAGATCCCTGGGAAGAGCGATGCGGAGGATTTCCGGAGGTTGCTCAGCGCCATGGAAATCCTCAACTTCAGCACTGAGGACCAGAACAGCATCTTCCGAATTCTGTCTTCCATCCTCCACCTGGGGAATGTCTACTTTGAAAAATACGAGGTACTTGGGCACTGGGGAGCGGGCAAAGGGAGAGGATTGGCAAGGACTCTAGGGCTGTGTCTAGACTGGCAAGTTTCTCCGCAAAAGCAGCAATCAAGCAGCTGTCTACACTGGCCGCTTGAATTTCCGCAAGAACACTGACTTCCTACTGTAAGAAATCAGTGCTTTTTGCGGAAATACTATGCTGCTCCCATTCGGGCAGAAGTCCCTTTTGCGCAAAAGGGCCAGTGTAGACAGTTCAGATTTGTTTTGCGCAAAAAAGCCCCCATCTCAAAAATGGCGATCGGGGCTTTTTTGCACAAAAGCGCTTCTAGATTGGCCACGGATGCTTTTCTGCAAAAAGTGCTTTTGCAGAAAAGCGTCCGTGCCAATCTAGATGCTCTTTTCCGCAAATGCTTTTAACAGAAAACTTTTCAGTTAAAAGCATTTGCGGAAAATCATGCCAGTCTAGACGTAGCCTAGATGCATGCCGCAAACCAGGGCTTTGAGCCCCTGTGGAGCCAAAGTGGCTTCGGTGGAATCTGGATCAGACCCGAAGCCTCTGTGCAGGGAGGAAGCTCTCGAAAGAAAATTGATTTTAGCTACTCTCCATTTAGTGGAACCTACGGAGAACAAATCCCATGCCCACTGGGTAGCAAAGCAGCACTGAGCACCTGAGCTACAACATCCAGTGAACCTCATTGCTGCTGCTTCCTCGTTGAAATGAGCAGACACAAAATGTTTCCAAATTAACACTTTTCTGAACTTTCCAGGAGCTGGGAATGGGCGAAGGGTGGGAGGATCCCTTGGTGATGGCCTGTTCTGCTTATTCCCTCCGGGGCACCTGGCATTGGCTGGCCAGTCTAACCATTCTGATGTTCTGTTCTGCAAGATAAATTGGGGTTTTGACATTTTGGCCTTGTTTGGGTACCAAAGCCACTGTCAGAAAATCAGCCTTTCCTCCAGTGCTACTCCAAAAAGTTGACAATGGGCCAGATCCTGTGCTAGTGTAAATCAGCATCGCTCCGGTAAGTCAGTGCTTCTGTGAGCACCAGATCAATGAAGCTCAGACCCACCAACAGGGAGGGGTGGGCATTCAAAAGGGCCCGGGATTCCCGGTCGTTGCAACTGCAGCAGCAGTGATGGTTGGCGCTCTGGGCCCTTTAAATTGCTGCCGGAGCACTGTGTGGCATGGTCCTGGCAGCGCTGAAGGCTGCCTGCCTGCCTGGCTCTGCCCCTTCCACTCAAGGCCACGCCCCTTCAAGGGCACAAAGCCATCTGTTCCCCATCTTGCCCAGGGGCTGGGCGAGTCTGTCAGCCCCACTGATTTACGTTAGCTGAGGATCTGGCCTAAACTCTTAAACAGAGATGGACAAAGGCCTTCCATGGGAGGCTGTCCCTGAGTACCACTATGCTGGCCCCTGGGAGGCTGCCTGCCAGTGGGCCGTCTGTGCATTTCCCAGGCAGACTGCCAGGAGGTCGCGTCGGTGGTGAGTGAGAGAGAGATCCGTGCCGTGGCGGAGCTGCTCCAGATTTCGCCAGAGGGGCTGCAGAAGGCCATCACCTTCGCGGCTGGTCGGACGCACGGGCGCTGTGCCTAGAGGCAAGAGGCAAGCGACAGTGAAGAGAAGTCACCGCTCTGAGACCCCGCACCTGCTTTTCCAAGTACTTTTCATCAGCTGGTGTATTTTCAGTATCTGATCTGGCAGGACAGGACACCCCTGCTTTGCTTTTCACGTTTGTCGGACTCCGAGGCAGACCATCCCTATGGAGTCCTCTCCCCCCTTACCTCTCTCTCCATTTATGCAGCACGTAGTCGTGTCTTGGCATGTCCCACCAATGGGCAGTCACCTCCACTTTGTCCCATCTGTTTTTGAAGGACTCAAGAGATGGGGCATCTTGGGTCCCCTATGGACGACTGTCCGGCCCTCTCACAGGCCTCCCTGACAGCAAAGCTTTCTCTGAATTTTCCCTGTATCATCTCATCCCTCTTCTCCCACGCTTCCATCTGCCTGATTCAGAATGGAGCAGTGCATTCTGGGACGTGTCGTCACTCATGGGCCACATGCCTGCGTTAAAGGTGCTGGGAGGCCCATGTTGGCTACACCTGTTTTTGGCGGGGATTTCAGCTGTTTCTTTGTTTGGTTTTGTCCTTCCCAACAGGAAACGCTGAGGGAAAAGATTTTCACCCCCCTCACTGTGGAAAGTGCTGTTGATGCCAGGTAAAAGGCTTCTGTTAGGAGGGGCTGTGAACTGTCTCTGGGTCATTAGCAAGCAGCACATGGGACTGAGGGGTTCAGAATGAGGAAAGGCTGGCAGCATATCAAAATATGCAATAAACACAGCCCAATGCTATGGAGAGGGTGGCAGGCAAGCTCAGCTACCCTGCTTAGGCAGGATTCAGCAGCCAAATCTATTTTGTGCCTGCTCTGTCGACTTACACAGCCCTGCATGCCTACAATATCTGAGCACCTTGTCGTCTTTATGGTAGTTGCCCCAGTCAGGTAGGGCAGAACTATTATCCCCATTTAATAGATGAGACACAGAGCCAGAGAGACTAAGTGACTTGCCCGAGGTTGTACAGACCACCTGTGGCAGAGCAGGGAGTCCAATCCAGCGGTCCCAAGTCTGGTTGATCCAGCCCACAGCCACTCTGCTGCTCTCCCACCTCCAGTCCAATTGAGACCTGGGAAGGGGGAGCATGTGAAGTTACCTGGCGAGCTGCACCAGAGGGAACTGCCAGCTGTTCAAAATAGTGGCCCCCCCCCCTTCAAAAATGTTTGCCTATCTCTGATCTAGATCATCCCTGATAGGTGTCTATCTAACTTGCTCTTAAAAATCTCCAGTGATGGAGATTCCACAACCTCCCTGGGCAATTTATTCCAGTATTTAACCACCCTGACAGGCAGGAATTTTTTCCTAATGTCCAACCTAACCCTCCCTAGCTGCAGTTTAAGCCCATTGCTTCTTGTCCTATCCTCAGAGGTGAAGGAGAACAATTTTTCTCCCTCCTCCTCGTAACACTCTGTTAGGTAGACACCCTCTGGTTTTGGGTGTGGCCATTTGGTCACTTTCCACTATGCCCCAGCTATTTCCATCATATTATTGATGGAGCTCAGTGCTGCAGAGGGGCTGCCTGGGAGAGGCTAGGAGTGATAGCCTGGGGAGGTGATGGGAGGGAGCACTGCTTGTCTCCCGAAGTGATCGGGTCTCAGTCCTGCAGCCCCCTCCGCCTGCCCCTCTGTATCCCAACAGCTGTGCTTGTCTCCTCCTTTCCCCAGAGATGCCATTGCCAAGATCCTGTACTCCCTGCTTTTCAGCTGGCTCACGGACAGGATTAACAAGCTGGTCTACCCCAAGAAGGAGGCTCTTTCCATAGCCATTCTGGATATCTATGGGTTCGAGGTGAGATCGGCACAGGGCTGCGTGCGAGATGCTGGCCCATCCCTGGTGTTCCTATGGAGCAGGGGTCTCCAACTCAGTTTAGGAGCCAGTCCTCAAATTCTCCACCTTGGCTGCTCTGGCACCGGCTGTGGGAGGATGGGGGGTCTCTGTACATTCCCCCACCTGCCCGTCTGTTCCTGCCGATGCTCCCTCAGCCCAATCTGCCATCCCTGGATGATTTAAAACACACTGGGGGTCCCCACCGACAGCACAGGGGAGCTAGAGTAGCTTCCGGCTGCTTGCTCCACGCCGCTGCCAGTGCATCCCTGTGACCTGTGGGAGATGAAGCAGAGCAATCGGATTGGCCTGAGAGATGACAACAGCCTGGCCCCTCCTGCCACCCTGTGCCAGGCTCCAGTAATCCCTAAGGCCGCATCCCTCTGGGGAGGGGTTTGGGGAAGTTGTGCAATGGGGGGAGAGGGTGGAACAGGGGCAGGAAGAGGTGGGGTGGGGTCAGAGCAGGGTCTGGGCTTGGGGGGGACAGGTCCGAACACACACACACACACACACACACACACACCCACCAGCAGCCACTGAGGCTGGATTGTGGAACTGCAGATGGCCTACCATGGGCCGTGATTGTGAGACCCCTGCTATGGCTTACCAGGAGAATAATAACGTGAGACTCAGCGTGGCTTTGGTGGACGTATGGGTATCCCCTGTGGAGGGCAGCGTGGGTCTGTGACCAGGGCTGAATGCAGCTTCCCATGAGTTCAGCAGACGACATGGAGAGCCCTGGCAGTATAAATGTTTGTTACCAACTCAAACGGGCACCGGCGTGACCTACCGGAGCCGTAGCGTGACTTACTGGGACCGTGGGAAGGAAACGAAAGACACGCTGAATGGAAGTCCCCAGCTAAAACCTCTCCAACGCATCATTAGTGATCTTCAGCCCATCCTGGACAATGATCCCTCGCTCTCACAGGCCTTGGGAGGTAGGCCGGTCCTTGCCCACAGACAACCCGCCAACCTGAAGCATATTCTCACCAGCAACTACACACCGCACCATAATAACTCGAACTCAGGAACCAATCCTTGCAACAAACCTCGGTGCCAACTCTGCCCACATATATACACCAGCAACACCATCACAGGACCTAACCAGACCAGCCATACTGTCACTGGTACATTCTCCTGCACATCCACCAATGTAATATCTGCCATCATGTGCCAACAATGCCCCACTGCTATATACATCGGCCAAACAGGACAGTCCCTACGTAAAAGAATCAATGGACACAAATCTGATATTAGGAATGGCAACATACAAAAACCTGTAGGGGAACACTTCAATCTTCCTGGACACACAATTGCTGATCTAAAAGTAGCCATCCTGCAGCAAAAAAACTTCAGGACCAGACTTCAAAGAGAAACTGCTGAGCTACAGTTCATCTTTAAGTTTGACACAATCAACTCTGGATTAAACAAAGACTGTGAATGGCTTGCTAACTACAAAAGCAGCTTCTATTCTCTTGGAATTCACACCTCCAGATCAGCTGCTAGAAGTGGGCCTCATCCTCCTTGATTGGATCCACCTGGTCATCTCCAGCCTGATCCTGGCCTGCATATTTATTCCTGCCTCTGGAAATTTCCACTACATGCATCTGACGAAGTGGGTCTTTGCCCACGAAAGCTTATGCTCCTACACTTCAGTTAGTCTATAAGGTGCCACAGGACTCCTCGTCGCTTTTGCTGAATGGAAATGTTCAAACCCTAAATTAACCCCTCCCCCTCAATTCCCCTCTCGGTTTCATGGGAATCCATCCGTGACCTCAGATCCACCCCCCTGTTGCTGCTGCTGCCAGGCCCCTGGGTGTTTCACTCCCCACTTGTCTAACGATGCCCGTGAAGACAGTTGTTATAAATGGCCAGGGCTCCCCCTTCCTCCTGCCTGGAGCCTGCCCCGCCTTTCCCTGCATGCTTTGCGCTTTGCAGCCATGCCCTCAAAAGCGCCCTGCCTCACGGCCAGCCCCGCAGCTGGGGTAAACCATCGCTGCTCTGCTGGGTCGCTGGAGCGACGCCAAAGGACACCAGCCGAGGATCGGGCCCTTTGGTTGTCTTGCTATAAAACAATGGGTCCGTGCACATGGGTGGCAGGTGAAGGCCCAGCTGGGGAAGACAACCCCAGCCTCACCCCATCCACCCGAGGCCCCACCCCTGGACCAAGCCCCATCCACCCCAGCCCAATCCTTCCTGGCCACCTGGAGGGCGGCCGGGGCATGTAGGCAATTTGGGGAAGACTTTGCTTGCCTACATTCCCGGCTGCCCACGTCCATGGCTTTTAATCCAAACAGGCCTGGATGACACAGGCCTCGTTGCCCTGGAAACGTGCCAGCAGCAGGTCTCCTGAGAGGATCTGGGAATGGTGTGGAGACGTGGATGGTGCTGCTGCCTAAGGCAGGACACTCACTAAGGTCCAAGTCCAAAGCTGCCACCTCTAGTCTCTTCCCATCCTCCGCAGAACAGAGCCCCGCAAATGTGATGTCAGGCCCCAGCGTTGCTGCCTCCAGAACTGGGGGTGTCTGTGTGTGTTCCACTCTTGGCCTCGCCGCCCCAGCTCTGCGGATCCTCACCCACCACCCTAGCCTGCCCTGAACTCTACCTCTGTCTGCTGTCACGCTCCTAAGCCCTTCCCCCTTAAACTGCCCCCCGCCTTCCTGCCCATAAGAACATAGGAGGTGCCAGGCAGGATCAGTCTGTGACCCGTCTAGTTCAGCATCCTGGCCCTACACAATCCAGTTCTCTGCTATGCCAACCCCAGGCTGTCTCACCGCTCTGCCAATGTGACTTAGTCTCGCTGTCTCGCATTATCTGCTGCTCCAGTCCAGCTGGACCAGTGCATCTCAGCCCTAACCGCCTTCTCTCCTCCGCTGCTCCTCCCAAAGCCCCTTGAGTCCTGGGCTGCAGCACACCAGGCTGTTCCAGTCCTCGAGAGATGCAGCCGGCTGTGTCAAATGAGGCCATCTTACATGGTCCTTCTCTGTGAGCACGGAGGGCAGGGAGGCTGTAGCCCAGCAAGTGCATTTGCAGTTTGGAGCAAAGCCAGGAAGAACATGCGAGCTCCCAGGGTGTGTGTGTGGGGGGGGTCGTCTGTGCTTGCTCCCTATCCCTTAGCCCTGCTGCGCCTCCTTCCAGGCGTGCTTCACAGAGGCCTCTGTTTTCCACAGGACCTCAGCTTTAACAGCTTCGAGCAGCTGTGTATCAACTATGCAAATGAATATCTGCAATTCTTCTTCAACAAGATCGTCTTTAAGGAGGAGCAGGTGAGCTGGGGGGAAATGGACGCAGCTCCTGATCTGTACTCTGGGGGAGGGGGGATGGGGAAACTGCAAGCTGGGGGGAAATCGAGGCAGCTCCTGGCCCGTATGCTACTTGCCAACCTGGCAAGTGAGTGAACAGTCCAGTCCCCCTTTATAACATCAGCCTCTCAGGGAAGTCCGGGGGGATGGAACCATTTTTATAGTGGGGGTGCTGGGAGCCGAGAACCAAACCCTGTATCAAGCTAGCGGGTGTGAGTGTGCCCCCCACATCCCAAGTTCCAGCACCCGGAGAAGGCTGCCCTGGGTTCAGCCCTTTCCAGTCCCCAGAGCTTACTTCACAGCCTGCAGGGCTGGCTCCAGGGTTATTTGAAACCCCTCATTCTGTGTGCCTTTGGTTGCTCCCTGTGCCCTCGGAATAATAGGGGCTCTTCTGGGAAAGGCCATCCTGGTAAAACTGTGTCAAGGCCAAACAATCGTAATACAGATCAGTCAGCCAGCTGATGAAGCCCGAAACCCTGAGGCCTTTTGCTTCCCTGTGCTATGCACTTCCTGCAGGAGGAGTACATCCGGGAACAGATCGAGTGGAAAGAAATCACCTTCAGTGACAACCAGCCCTGCATTGACCTCATTGCGCAAAAGCCACATGGGATTCTGAGGATCCTGGATGATCAGAGCTCCTTTCCTCAGGTAGCGGCGCTGTGGAGGCTCAGCATTGCCTGCATCTTGTAGGCAAATTGCTCTTTGTTTTTACACGTGAGCACGAGTAGCTAAGCAGAGAGCTCCGGCAGATGCAGCAGCGATGGGACTGTTCTGCCAGGCCCAGGGCTGACCCTGATGTCGGTCCCTGTGAAGGCAGGCAGCCTTAGTGACATACTGTGATCCTTGTGCACATAAGCTTTTGAGAGGGACCCTGGAGGCATCCTATGGTCTCACGAATGGGACTGATCCAAATTCAGAGCTGCTGCATGAACAGGCACGATTCCACTGCCCTCCCAACAGGGATGAATGTGGCCAAGCAGGGCAACAAGCCAGTTTGTTCCTCTCCTTTTGTGCACACCAGGGTTCTCTGCTGGATTGAATTTGAGTTGCACGACTGCGTGTCACAGACCCTGTGCTGCTGGACGAGATTCTCCCTTAGCTCGAGTGTTAAGAGGGCTTGGGTTTAAGGCTACATCCCCACTGGGATGTAATTTTCCAGCTCAGGCAGCTGTACCTGCACTGGCTGTGAGTGAGCTAGTGTGCTAAAAAGAGCAGGCTAGCTTTGGGAGGTGGGACAAGTTAACCTCCCTGTGTACAATCTTGTCTGAAACCTAGGAATGTGCTCAGAGCACCAAACTCTCCCATTCAGCTGGGGCTACACTGTTAAGGGTATGTCTACCTAAGAAATTATACTCTAGCTCTGGTATAGACATACTGCCAGGTCTACACTAAAGGGGAAAGTCAAATCAAGAGACGTAACTCCAACTACGTTAATTATGTAGCTGGAGTCGACGGACCTTGATTCAAGTTTCCCCACAGTCCTTATAGCGGGAGGCTGAGGGGAGCAAATGCTTCTGTTGGCTTTCCTTACTCCTCACAGGAGTACCGGCTGATAGGGAGGCGGGGGAGGACTCTCTGAGTTTGATTTAGGGTGTCTTAACAAGACTCACTAAATCAAACTCCAGAAGATCAATCGTGGAAGTGTGGATCATCCCCAGAGTGAAGACATGACCTTAGAGCAGGAAGGGTCTACAGTCCAGCTATTCTGCTGCTGTGGTGTTGTGTGTGGTCATGGGGACACCTCCGGGACATGGAGAGGTTCAGAAAGTCCCAGGTGGGTATAGATAGGTTAAATACTTTGTGGCTGTGTCTAGACTGGCCAGTTTTTCCACAAAATCAGCTGCTTTTGCGGAAAAACTTGCCAGCTGTCCACACTGGCTGCTTGAATTTCCGCAAGAACACTGATGCTCTCATGTAAGATTGTGTTCTTGCAGAAATACTATGCTGCTCCCGTTTGGGCAAAAGCCCTCTTGCACAGTACTGTTTTGCGCAAAAAAGCCCAGATGGCTAAAATGGCGATCGGGGCTTTTTGCGCAAAAGCGCATCTAGATTGGCCATGAACGCTTTTCCGCAAAAAGTGGTTTTGCGGAAAAGCGTCCGTGCCTATCTAGACACTCTTTTCCGAAAATGCTTTTAACGGAAAACTTTTCCGTTAAAAGCATTTGCGGAAAATCATGCCAGTCTAGATGTAGCCCCTATGTCTACAGAGGTTTCCAGCCAAGGATCTCCAAGAGCTTTTACAGATGTTAATAAATTGAGCCTCCCAAGCCCCCTGGGAAGGAGGGAAGCATTATTATCCCCTTTCTGAAGATGGGGAAACTGAGGCACATGCCAATGAGGTGACATGCCTGAGGTCACGCAGTGAATCAGTGGCAGACATGGGAACAGATCCCCAAAACCTAACAGTCGGACTCAGAGTTCTGTGCTTTAGCCAATGCTCCCTCCAGCTTGTAGCTCCCAATCAGGCAAGTTTTATCTGTTTTCGGGTTGCATTCCAACTGTTTTGCCAGCTCTGCCAAAAGTTCCCTGTGGTATAATACCCTTTGCCTCTAGGCCAATGCTGCCCATGGTGATGCTGAGGGGAGGTATCAGAAGTTCCTTCCTGACTCTTCTGGCTGTCCGTTTAGGTGCCCTGAAGCATGAGAATTTTTCCAGCCCCTAATTTAAAGTTAATGGCTACAAGTGTTACCCCTGCCCATGTAACCATCCAGCCTTTCATCTGGCCGCCTGCTGATGCAAAGTGTTCCACAGGGGCTGGTTAAACAGTGACAAAGGCTGCCTAGAAACAGCAAGGAGGCCTGCTTGTGGCTGCAGCCAGTCAGGTTGCTGAGGTAACCCCATGCCCCTTGCTCCCATTCGCAGGCCACGGACCATACTTTCCTGCAGAAGTGTCACTACCACCATGGCTCCAGTGCATTGTACACCAAGCCAAAGATGCCTCTCCCGGAATTCACCATCAAACACTATGCTGGCAAAGTCACCTACCAGGTGAGCGGCTGTTGGAGTGGGATTGGGAGCAAGAGACAGGCACGTGGGTAGAACCAGTGCTCGGTAGCTACCAGTCTGGCTCTCTCCCCCCTGCTGTCCAGCTGGGGCAGGATCCTCAGCTGGGGTAAATCACTACTCCTGTGGCCAGAGCCTCTGGCCCTTAATTTCTAGATCTTCCTTGTTATACCGGATGGGTCTAAATCACTGTTATTTTTCTGGTGGGTGCTCCACCCCGCTCCATCTCAAGGCCTTGCCCTCACTTCACCCCTCTCCCGAGGCCCCCACCTGCCACCCCTTCCCTGACTGCCTCCTGCCAATTGCTGAACAGCTGAGTGGTGGCCCTGCCCAACAGCTGTGGCTGGTGTGGGCTGAGCACCCCCTGTTTTTTTTCCCAGGGGTGCTGAAGCCCCGGAGCAGCTGGGGAGTTGGCACCTCTGATCCGAGTAACTGGGGGGAGGGGCTCTGTTTGTTTTTTCAGGTGCACAAGTTTCTGGATAAAAACTATGATCAAGTCCGCCAGGATGTTCTGGACCTTTTTGTCAACAGCAAGACCAAAGTAAGAGCTTCCACCAGTCTCCGACTCTTTGTTACCAGCGCTGGTGGTGCTGGCTGGGAGATAGACAGGGAGGGAGCTGGGGGTTGTTACAGCAGCACTGCATTGTGTATAGGAAGCAGTGTGGCCTATAAGGCAGAGCAGCTGATGGAGGAAGGAAACCAGAGTTCTAGTCCCAGCTCTGTCTCCAGCCTACTGGGACTAGACTTTTCTCCAGACCTCAGTGAGTCAGTGGCAGACCTGGGAACAGGTCCCCAAAACCTGGCAGTCTAACTCAGAGCTCTGTGCTTTAGCCAATGCTCCCTCCAGCTTGTAGCTCCCACTCAGGCAAGTTTTACCTGCTTTCGGGTTGCATGCCAAGTGTTTTGCCAGCTCTGCCAAGTGCTCTCTGTGGTGTGATACCCCTTGCCTATAGGCCAATGCTGAGGATGGTGATGCTGAGGGGAGGTAGCAGAAGTTCCTTCCTGACCCTTCTGGCTGTCAGTTTAGATGCCCTGATGCATGAGAATTTTTTCCACCCTCTAATTCAGGGGTCTCCAACCTTTTTAAGCATGAGATCACTTTTTGAATTTAAGTGCAATCCAGGATCCACCTCAAACCCAAACATTCTTGCCCCGCCTCCTTCCCACCCCTTCTCCAAGGCCCTGCCCCTGCTCACTCCATCCTCCCTCCCTCCCCTGTCCTCACACACTTTTATCAGGCTGGGGTGCGGGGGAGGGGGATGTGGACTCTGATCTTGGGCTAAAGGATTTGGAGTGTGGGAGGGGTTGGGAGATGAACCTGGGGCAGGGAGTTGAGGTGCAGGAAGGGGTTCAGGGTGCAGGCCCTGGAAGGGAGTTTGGGTGCAGGGGGACTTAGGGTTAGGGCAAGGGTTTGGGGTGCAGGAGGGGTTCAGAACTGGGGTCAGGGTTTGGAATGCAGGCTCCAGCTGGGCACCACTTACCACAGGTGGCTGCTGGTTGGTGACACAGTGGGGCTAAGGCAGGTTTGCCCCTCCTCTGGCCCTGCATCACTCCCAAAAGCAGCCAGCAAACTCTCTCCATCCCTGCGCCCCCCCCCACTCTGTGGAGATGGGGTGCAGGGTGGAGGGAGAAGCACCCTGATGTCAGCACCCCTCCCCCCGTCTTTCTGTGCCCTGCACTTAAAAAAGTGCTGGCACTTGACAGCGTCTCAGGATCACCTATCAAAGGCTCCAAGATCTACCAGTAGATCCCGATCGGCTGGTTGGTGACCACTGCCCTAATTTAATGTGAATGGCTACCAGTGTCACCGATGCCTGTATAATCATGCAGACTGCATCGCAGTCTACCACTGAGAAGAGCGAGATATTACTGTTGGAACGTGCTGCCACTGGTGGGGCTCTTTCCCAGTCCGTAATTAACACGTCAAGCGGCTATGGGCCTGCTGGGGGATTTCCTCTCTTGGAACTCGGTCATGCCTCTTGGCAGTATCCGTTATTTGACGCCGAAGAGCAGCCCGCCAGCTTGCTCTCTGCTGACCCATGCAAGCCCTGGCTGCCGAGGCTGGAGGCCTGTGATGTCACGTCACCCTTCCCAGGGCTTGGGACAGGGTGGGTCGCTGTAATAGGTTTCCCAAGGATTTGTTCAGCTGCTACCCTGCATTCCAGAAGCTTATGTGGATGTGAGTGGATGTAGGACTAGAGGCGCCTGCAGAACATGAATACACTTGCCAACCTACAGGCACTTGGTAATCCACCTGGCCAGCTGGCCAACGGCGTTAGCAAACAGCCCACCCTCTCCCGAGACCGTGCTCCTGGGGATGGTGCGCACAATGGAGCAGACAAGTGTGAAGCATGCTCCTGTTCAGATGCTAGAGACAAGTGCTCGACCAGGCATTGAACTCCACTCACTCCTGGCACGCGCTTGCCCGATCTCACTCCAGCTACCCTGGCACTCTGCTCTTCTGTTGCACCTTTGGTCTCGGACAGATCACGTAACAAAAACCAATGAGGCCTCCCAGCATCCCATGAGGACACAATATGGGTGTTCCCATTTTGCAGTGGGGGAAACTGAGTCACGGTGACTTACCCAGGGTCACGTAGTCAATCTGTGGTGGGGCTGGGAAAAGAGCCCAAGAACCCTCGCTCCCATTCCTGCGCATTACGCATTGAACTCTCTGAGGAGACACAGCAGACATAATGAAGAATAACAACAATAAAAATAGTTCTTAGCAGCAGAGCTCAAAGTGCTTCACAGAAAAGGTCAGTGTCTCCATTGTACAGAGGGGGAAACTGAGGCACGGAGCAGGGCAGTGCCTTCCCTAGGTTCACCCAGCAGGCCATTGGCAGGGCTGGGAATAGAACCAGGTCTCCTGAGTCCCAGTCCAGCGCTCTAGCCACTAGACATCACTGTCTCAACACAGCCCTATTCCTTCCCCTTTTTCAACCGTCCCCCTTTCTTCCAAGGTGGTGGCCAACCTCTTCTTCAGCCATGCCCAGCAAGTGGCCCAGCAGAGGACCATGATGGGGAAGAACAGCACAGTCACCCGGCGGTATAAAGCCCCAACGGTGGCCGCTAAGTTCCAGCAGTCGCTCCTGGACCTGGTGGAGAAGATGGAGAGGTGAGTGAGGAGGGAGCTTAAAGAAACAGATTCAGAAATTGTCTATTCGGGGAAGGGGGGAAATGGGCTGGTGGGAAAATCCCGGCAGATCCTCCTCTGGAATGGGGCAGAGACTTGCCCTGAGTCACCCCAGAGTCCTGGTTTGGACCATGGAGGGAAGAGATCTTTCCAGGATGTTGTAACCACAGTGTTGCAATGCACTGCTCTCCAGAGCCAGAAGCGAGGCGCTTGTGGGGCCTAGGGGAGTTAGATGCCTTGGAAAGTTGCTGTCAGCCTGGCAGATGTGCCCAGAATGATCTGGGGTGAAGCCAGCAGTTCAGCTGCTCGGCTCGATTTCCTGGCCACCGAATGCAGCGGAAACTTCCCAGCATGTCCTGGCATCCCCGCTCATGGGTTCCTTTGTCAGCTCCTCCAGCGGATAAGTGCAGCTCTCTCTCTGATTCAGGTGCAACCCGTTCTTCGTCCGCTGCCTCAAACCCAACAACAAGAAGGTAAGAATACACCCATGACGGGTGTGGCAGTGGGGCCGGATGCAGGGTTAGCAGCGCCAAAGCCACGTCTCATTGACATAATCCCCAGGAGGGAGTTGCCTCTTCCCTCCCTGTGTCTCTTAACTGTGGGCACTCTGGCGATGTTGGGATGGTGAACAGGCTGTAGGGTGAGAGGCTAGATATCCTGAGAGGTTGTATCCGTAGCAACAGCCATGCACCCTGAAGTCAGCCATGCACAGTAGCAGCTCTGTAAATCACGTCCTAGCCAGGCACCCACAAAGGGAGCCCATATTTTAAAATGGAAGCAAAGTGACATGCCCAAGGCCACCCTGTGAGCCAGTGGCAGATCAGGGAATGGACAATGCCCTGCCTCTCAGCCCTGGGCTTTTTACCCACTAGATCCTGCTACTTAGCACAAGGAGTAAGGTGTCCCATACGGGCATTGCAATACGTGTACCTCACCCTGGCTGGCGTGACGGCGGGTGCCATAGAGGGAGGGGGCTGCTGGCAGCCCACTGCCTTTCAGTTCCATGTCATGTGGCTTGCACTGCATCGGGTGCCTCTCCAGTTACAGCTTCACCCTGTTCCCAAGCCTGGAGCCTATCGCTCTAAAGTGAGATATCGGCTTGCATCTGCCTCTCTTAACAAAAGGAGACAATGCGCCGAGACTGGACCTCACCCACTGTCTCTCCTTGTTTGCTCTCCCCCATGCCCGCAAGCAAAACGCACTTCCTGCTCTTTGCCCACTCCCCTTCCTGCACCGATGTCTGTCTCTGGCCTCACGCAGCCTGCGTCCCTGCTGTTCTCTGCTGGGCGAGACTCTCATCCTGTTGCCCTCTGGAGGCTGATGCTGTGAGACACTATAAGCCGGGGGTGGGGTGCGCTTTATTGGGTCTGGGGCTGCTGACCCACAGAAAAATCAGTCGGGTGGGAGGCAGCGGGGGCTCCCCAGGGCTGGCGGGGGGGAGCCCTGAGCCTAGGGGGCTGGATCCAGGCAAGCCGGGGACCACATCTGGCCCCTGGGCCGTCGGTTGCCCACCCCTGCTCTAAGACTTAATACACAGCCCAGACCCGCAGGGGCAGCGTAAGACACATCTGGCCTTGGTGGCTCCTGTCCCTTTGTCCCTGGACTAGCATTTCTCACAGCCGAGCCAATCGAAGCTCTTTGCGGACGTGCTGCTTGGCAAATAATGGGACAAAGGAGCTTTGTCCAGAGAGGAGACTCCCCCTGGAGACCCGGCTGCAGTTGCCGGTACGACGGGAGGTTTGCAAGCAGGTGAACAGCACAAAGCGTTTTGGTAACTGCAGGAAACGTGCTGCTCCGGCCATGCTGTCTCAAATCCTCGCTGCCTTCTCCACCTCGCCCTCTCTCTTCTCCCGCCGGCCTCCCGGGCTCCAGGCCGCTCCCTGTGCCTAGACCCCGGTGCTGCAAAGCTCAGAAAGGCGCCACCTTAGGTCCCACTGAATCCAGTCGCCTGCCGCTGAGCGTGCGTTTGAGGGCTTTGCTGGATCGCCGCGCCAAGGCCGAGGACGCAGCAGCGTCCCCATACAGCCACCAGCCCCGGCTGTGTCACTCGCGAGTTGTCTGGTCCCCGCTGCTCCAACGGGCAATGAAAGCCAGGCCGTGACAACTCTCCTCTTGCCTCCCCCTCGTCTCAGGAGCCAGCTGTCTTCGAGGCAGACATCGTCAGCAGCCAGCTCCGGTACTCTGGAATCCTAGAGACCATCCGCATCCGCAAAGAGGGCTTCCCAGTTCGCATCCCCTTCCACATCTTCATCGACAGGTGCTGCCGCCCGGAGCCGCTGGCTCCAGACAAAGAAGCTTTGGGAAGGGGCCTGTCCCAAAAGGGAGCCCGAGTAGACAGGGGGAGTGGGGCAGAGGGAGAGCAAAGTTGATTCCTCATCTCTCGAATCAGCTGAGAAGGGGCTGGTGCCCCACACGGGGGACGCACCTCAAGAAGCAATCCTGCACCTCCCCCAAAGGCCTCCCAACAGGTCTCCTCCGTCTCTAACTTACTGGAGAACTGGGGGAGTGGGTCTCCGGGGTTCTGTTCCGGGTCCTGTTCTTGGCTCCGGTGTGGGGTGGAACCGCTCAAGAGAGTTTGCCTTGACTCGAGTCTGGGTCTCCCGCATTAACTGTGCTCCTGGGCTCAATTAGGTACAGGTGCCTGGTCGATCTCTGGCCTGACATCAGGCCGGACGGCGTGAGCTGCGTGGAGGTGCTGAAGAAGCTGTGTGCTGTGAGCCCCACCATGTACTGCGTCGGAGCCAGCAAGGTACGGCAGCAACGGTCTGCAGCGGTGGCAGCAAGGGATCCGGGCTGGGGGCCCATTAGACTGCCCTCTCCTCCCCCCTGGCTCCACTCATGGGTGCCTTCCCCTGCGGCTGCATGTCCCGTGTTGTTAACCCCTTGGCGTCCAGACGCGGGATACTGAGATGCCCTGTGGCCATCTACAGGGAGCTCATGTGGGGCAGAGAATTAAGCCAAACCCACCCCACCTCTGCTTTGTTAATTCTCATAGAGCCCGGCCTAGCCCCCCTGAATCAGTGAATCTTTCCATCCCCCCTCAGCCTTGGGTCAGGCCCTGGGCACGAGGAGCAGAGTTCCCACTGAGACTGGTGGGAGCTGCTAGAGCCTGGGGCAGGAGCAGGACGGGGCCTTTTGGCCAGGTGAGTGAACCGGGCAGCAGCTCCTCCTCCCCTGGGGCTGATGCCGTTTCTCTCTCCCTCCCGCCAGCTGTTCATGAAGGAGCATGTGTACCAGCTGCTGGAGAGCAAGCGGGACCGCGCGCTGCACCGGGCCGCGCTCACCCTGCAGCACTACGCCCGCGCCTTCTTCATCAAGAAACGCTTCCGCTCGCTGCGCCGCAAGATCGTCCTCCTGCAGAGCCAGGCCCGGGGCTACCTGGCCAGGTGCGGAGGCGGGGCTGTGCCAGGGGGGGCCCAGCCGGCTGCTCGCACTCCCACGTGGGAAGAGATAAGCTACTGGGGGACAGGGCTGGGTCAAAGCCCACGCCAAGGCCTCCTGCCCTTTGGGGCGCTCCGGGGCTGAGTTTCAAGGAGCCTCGTGCGGTGCTTTGGGACCAGGTGGGATCCAGACACAATCAAACCGTGTCAAGGGACTGAGCGTAGGCTGCTGGGGGTCTGACCCACCTGCACAGCTGTCAGGGCCTATCGTCCCCACTCCGGAGGACCTGATCCAAAGGCCTTTGGCAAGACTGATCAGGTTCAAGTGGGGTTCGGGTCAGGCCCCCGGCCTGCATGTTACATGCATGTTGACTCCTCAATAGGGCAGCCACGCTGTGCTGCCGACTGTCCTTAGAACGGAAATTTCCAGCCCTGTCTCCCTAACCAACCAGCCAAAGTCAGGGAGGAGCTGGCCTGGGCATCCGGCAGCAGACAGCGACAGGCAGATGAGGGTGGCACAGGAGGAGTCTGGTGTCACACGCCCATGGCCAGCGCTGGTCAGACAGAGCTCCGAGTCCTTTCCCTGTGCCTGATTTCCCACCGTCCCGATGCTGCCGCTTGGGCAGTGCCAGGGCATTCCCCATGGGCTCAGCATTCGGGGCCTGGGTACAGACTGCCCCCAGCCCCGTTAACCGTGGGGTCGCTGCTCCCTGCAGGCAGAGGTACAAGCGGCTGAGGAAGAGTCTGATCAAGTTCCGGTCCCTGGTGCACGTGTACGTGAATCGCAGGAGGTACCTCAAGGTGAGAGCGGCTGGTGCGGAATGGGCAGGCATGGGGCGGGAAAGGGGTCGTGCGATGGGCCATGGGCCTGGATCAGAGGGAGCTCTGTCGCTCAGGACGAAGGGGGAGCAGAGCTGTGAGGGGCTGGGGTGGAATAGCAGGGGCTGAAGGACTGGATGGCAGGGCACTCGCTCAGGACGAAGGGGGAGCAGAGCTGTGAGGGGCTGGGGTGGAATAGCAGGGGCTGAAGGTCGGGATGGCAGGGCACGGGCAGAAGCTCGCCCTGCCTCTAGCTTGTGCTGTAGCACTGCCTTTGCCCCGAAGATCCAGCGTGCGGTGGGGGCAGGAGGTGTAGTTCCCAAGAGCCCAGGCAGCACTAAGAACACAAGAGCGGCCCGGCTGGGTCACACCAATGGTCCCTCTAGCCAGGATTCGGTCTTCTGTGGGGGCGGGTTCCAGGGGCTTCAGCGGGAACAGACAGAACGTAGCACGTGACCCGTCCCCTGTCGTGTAGAGCCGGCAGGTCCTGGCTCCGGCGCCGTGCGAGGTGCAGTCAAGCCGCCTGGCTGCTATAGGCCTGTGCCACACGGGGTGGGTGCGGGTGACAGCTGCTTTGCACAGGGACAGCTGCACTGCGTCGTGTCGCAAAACAGCTGGGACTCTGACACCGACATGGATTGAATTCGCCCAAACCTGGATGGCGTCTTGGAAAGGGGGGGGTCTGCTCTTGCCCCAGCAGCACCGGGGCATTGTCTGGCGGGCCTGGCTGCTATAGGCCTGTGCCACACGGGGTGGGTGCGGGTGACAGCTGCTTTGCACAGGGACAGCTGCACTGCGTCGTGTCGCAAAACAGCTGGGACTCTGACACCGACATGGATTGAATTCGCCCAAACCTGGATGGCGTCTTGGAAAGGGGGGGGTCTGCTCTTGCCCCAGCAGCACCGGGGCATTGTCTGGCGGTCACATGGGCCAGGCGCCGGTCTGCCTAAGTGAGGGGGCCAGCCACTGGAGAGAGGAGATTGCAGAGGGAACAGCTTCAGATCTTGGACTCGGGGGGCCAGTCCCGTGGGCCAGGGCAGGATCCTGTGGGCCCGAGCCAGCTGCTGAGCACCCTGCAGACACCAGGCCAGGTGTCTGATCTTGCCCACGGTGCTGGCGGGGGGTGTGTGTCCCTGCAGGCTGGGGACTCAGGAACCTTTGCTGTCGCCTGCGGGCAGGGGGCAAACCCAGCGTGAGCAGAGGGTGAATGGAAGCAGCATGGGGCAGAGGGAGAGGGTTCCCAGCCACGCTCCCTGCGGTGGGGGCTGGGGCATCCTGACTGCATCCAGGCTTACCGAATGGCTCTTGGGCCCCCAGCTGTGGGGCCCAGGGAGATCCAGCCGGGCCTGGCCCTTGCGGCCTATGGGACGAATGGGCTGGGAGCTGCAGGGTGAATGCTCCCCTCCCTCCGGGTGAGGAGCCCCCAGCTGTGCTCATGCCCAGCCCTGCCCAGGCTCCCCCAGTTCAGAGCTGCCGTGCTGGGGCCGGAGATCCCGGCCAAACACCGGCGCAGAAGGGTTAAGCCTTGGCTTAGCCGGCTCTGCAGGCAAACCCACACAACCGCCTCCGAGCACTGAGTCCCGCCCTGGCCAGCTGTGCCGAGACGGGCACGTCCCCTGCCCTAGGCAGGGCAGCAGCGCGGGCGCCCGGCGGGGCCCATGAAGCGCGTCCGCTTCCAGCTGGATGGCAAGGCCGGGGTGAGTAACCGGCAAGAGCGTCCAGCCCCGCTTGGCAGGGCGACGGGGACGAGCACGGGGTGACGGGCCTGGAGGGTCCCCTGCTGCCTTTCGCCAGGGTGAGCACGCAGGAGAGAGAGAGGATGGAGGCAGGCTTGGTGCAGGCAGGGACTGGGCCCCCTCCCCCTGCAATCCCAGCCTGCAGCCCCCGCGCTCTCAGCTCTGCCGAGGGGGCAGGCAGGAGTGGAACCCGACCATGTGCCGTCGAGCCCCCAGCCAGCATCCGGCTGTTTGGCTTCATTCCCGCCGCGTCCTCCCGGGCCCCTCCCATCCCGACCAGATTCCTAGCGGGCAAGGGACCCGGCCCTGGCAACGGCCGCTGGCTGCTGCTCTCCATGTGCCCGTGTGCTCTGGTTGCAGAGGAAGGAGGAGGCTCGCCGGCGGGCGGAGGAGGAGAAGAGAAAGGCCGAGCAGGTAATGCCTGGTGCCTGCCGGGGGGGCCTGCTGGCGCGTGTCTAGCATGTCGTGGCGGGTGCGTGAGTGCACTGGCGTGTGTGTGTGTGTGTGTGTGTGTGATGGGAGTGTGCACGCATGCTGGCACGAGCGGAGGGCATGCGTTGGCAGGCGGGGCGGTGCATGCCAGTGGGGGGGGGTGTCTGTGTGTGGTGGGTGAGGGTGCATATTAGGGCAGCTGCCCACTGAAGCAGTTCAGGGCCACATTCTGCCCACAGTGTCAGCTGAACTCACCGCCCTGCCAATGCTGGGCGGGCCCGAGCTAAAGGCTCAGGGCCCCACGGTGTAAAGCCGGTGGCTGTCTCTGCATCTCCAGCGGCTGGGTTCTGGTGACAGTCACTTACATTTCTTACAGGCACTGTCCTATCACAGGGCTTGGAGGGGGCTCAGGGCAGGGGGTTGGGTTGTGACAGGGCAGTATCTGTAAGAATTAAGTGTGGGGCGGAGCACGGGGCTCAGGGCGGAGGGCTAGGGACGTGGCAGGATGTAGGAGTCAGGGTTGGGGGTGTGAGGGTTCAAAGCAGGGGATTGGAAGGTGGGATGCAGGAGTCAGGGCAGGGGGCTGGGAGTGTGGGGGGAGGTTCAGGGCAGGGGTGTGTGTAGGGGGAGGCTGGGCCAGTCCCAGTCGTTGCCAGGTTACCATTACCTGGCTGGGGGGCGGGTCCCTGCCTTGCCGCATGCACATCAGGAGCCCAGCTGGGAGCCTTCCCACCTCCCCTGCAGTGCACCCTGGCGGGAGCGGCGCCCCCCAGCCATCTCTCAGGGTGTCTCTAGACTGCAGGGTTTTGTCAACAAAAGTGGACTTTTCTTGACAAAACTATACCTGCGTCTACACTGCCACTGGGTTCTGGCGACATAACGTCGACACAACTCAGCAGTTTTGTCAACGGCTGTAAACCTCATTCTACGAGGAATAACGCCTTCTGTCGGCAGAGTTCTGTCCACAGAAGGCGTTACTCTCAGGGTGTCTCTAGACTGCAGGGTTTTGTCAACAAAAGTGGACTTTTCTTGACAAAACTATACCTGCGTCTACACTGCCACTGGGTTCTGGCGACATAACGTCGACACAACTCAGCAGTTTTGTCAACGGCTGTAAACCTCATTCTACGAGGAATAACGCCTTCTGTCGGCAGAGTTCTGTCCACAGAAGGCGTTATTGCATCTCCACTGTCCTTTGCGTCTACGCTGTCATGTCGACAAAACTTCTGTCGACAAAAGCCTATAGTCTAGACGTAGCCTCGGTGGTGCATGCTATTTACTCAGTCCTGCCACTGCACAGAAGGCTGCACTTGATGTCTTCTCAAGATCCTGTCTAGCTCTATTTCTAGAGTTTTATAATCAGTCACTGACATTCTTCTCAGTTCCAACTAACAGTCTCCAAAGCACCCCTTGTTCTGGGAGCACAACGCAGACAAGGCTGGTCCATCCCAGCCTGCCGCCCAGAGGACTGGACCCAGAGAGGTGATGTGGGGAAGCCGGTTAGCGCCTCCAGCTCTCCGCCTCGGCGCTGGAGCAGGGCGAGGGGCAGACCGTAGCGCACTGACCGGCGTCTCTGTGCTCTGCTCTCAGGAGCTGACCAAGAGGGAGGTGGTGGATGTGACGCACCTGGAAATCCCTGCGGAGCTGGCAGGGCTGCTGGAGCTGGTGGCAGGTAAGTGCGCGTTTCCCACAGAGGGCTGGGCCGGAGCAGCAGCAAACGGTCCTGTGGGGCTCCAGGCCACTAGCAAAGGCAGCTTAACCCAGGGCTGGCCTTACCACGAGGCAAACTGAGGCAGGTCACGGCAAAGAGCTGTGGGGGGGGGTACCACTAGGGCCCAGAGAATTGAGACCTTTCAAAGTTTTGGCCCAAGTGAGGGGACATGGGGCCGTCATTTGAGCTCCCCGCCTCAGGGGCCAAAATGTTGTGGACCGGGCCTGGCTTCACCAGCGCTGTCCTCCTGTCTCTGTGGACAGGCCCTGAGGAGCGTTAGCCCAAGACTGCCCTGCTCAGTGTCTGCCTGCTCCTGTGCAACTCAGACGCCAGACTCCACCCCAGAGGTGGCTGCCCTGCAGTGGTAGGTGAGGCGCTCCCTAAATGTAGGCTCAGATTCTGGCCAGCCGCTCTTGGGAGTCACGGAGGAAAAGGGCCTGTCTCCCGCCTCTCCAATGCCTTGGGGCGCTGAGGGAGAAAGGCCGGCTAGAGGCAGATGCTGTTATCTTACCCGAGTCAGCAGCACTGCGCCAAGCTGCCATCTAAACAGAGACTGGCGCAGGCTCGCCCCCCTCAGAGCGCTGGCAGCAGGGGACCAGCCGGACTGGCTCCTAGGCTTAGCTGTCTAGTGGTTAGAGCAAGGGACGGGGCGTCAGGATGCCTGGGTTCTATTCCCAGCTCTGTCATTGGCCCCTGGGCCTCAGTTTCCCCAGTAGGGTTTAGTTGGGCCAGATTGCTCTCTAGGAGGCTCTAGAGACCAGTGAGCGCTGTTTCTGCCCCACCCAGAAGGAGCTTGGCCCAGTCTCCCGGCTGCACCAAGGTGAGTTGATCCTGCCTTGCCCCGCAGCCCAAGGATCCTAGGCTCAGACACCCCAGGGAGCTTCTGTTTGTTGCCCACCCTTAGTCATAAGCCAATGGTGGGGGGTGGAGCCTCTTCTCCTCCTGACCCCACTGACTCCTGGTGCCTCTGTCCCCCAGCTCACACGCCGGTGCCTGCTCAGTGCGTCGCACTGGCCCCCGTGCCCACACTGCAAGTGGATTCCCAGCTCACCCTGCCTCTCGACATCAACAACTACCCCATGGCCAAGTACGTGCGGGTCCACTTCCAGGTAAGGGTGGCCCTGAGCAGCCCCCAGAGCCACTCTGTGCCCTCCGAAGAACTGGCTGTGGAGGGAGGGAGCAATGCCGGTCGTTAGCTGGGACCAGAAGCCAGGACACCTGGGAGGGAGTCAACCCTAGTGGTTAGAGAGCGTGCAGGGACTCAGAGCTCCCGGGCTCTCCCAGATCTGGGGAGAAGGGTGGAGTGGTTAGAGCAGGGGCCTGGGAATCAGGACTGTTGGAGTCCAGTTCTGCCACTGACTTACTGCATGACCTGGGGCAAGTCACTTAACTACGCTTTCCCCATTTGCAAAGCAGGGCTGAGGGTGCTTACTGACCTCCCAGGGGAGGGGTCAGATCCTGTGGAATGCTGAGCATCAGGTCATTGGAGGGCGCTGAGGCTTGGATTCCAGGGGTTCCAGGCAGCGTCTGTGAATGGGTCTGAGCTTAAAGGGAGGTGGCTGAGAGAAAACCCGCCGCGGGGAGAAAGCGAGTGGGCTGCTCTGTGGCACTGGTTCCCCTTTCACCTGGCTGCATCTCTGGCTTTCGCTCAGCCCCTGCCGGGTCCTAGCCGGCTTTTTCTAGCCCACGGCGCCATTGGGGTCTCCCGCACGCAGCAGGGTGCCAGAATCCTGTACAGTTTGAGGCAAAAGAGCCTGTCAGCTCATTCAGAGCCTCACCCCTGCGTTTCTTTTCCCACAACTGGGGGGGGCCAAGGGTCAGGTTGCAGCAGAGTCCTCGGCACCCGGGGCTCTGGGACCAACAGAGGAGACCGGTGGCCAGTATCCCCAGAAGCAGTGGGGCCACAGCTGGGGTTCTCTGGAACTGGGGGCTGGACCTGCAGGCTGCAGCAGGGACCCCAGGCGTGGGCTGGAGACCGGGATCCTGCAGTGGGGTGCAAAATCTGGGGGTGCTGCAGCGTCTCTACTGTCTGCTGGAAGTGGCGTGGCCCCACACGGTGCTTCGCTATTTCTAGAGCCAGGTGCTGCCCCACCTCTCTCCCTTCGTGTGAACAGACCAGGATGAGGAGCTCGGTGCCAGGGGATTTCGTCATGTTACTTTGGCCCCCAGAGAATGTTCCAGGCTGGGCCTTTCAACAGGCCGGGCCCCTCCTGGTGCCCATCGCCTGAGCTGTGGCGAATCCCTGCTACAGCGCTCAATGCGCCTGCCCTCTGTTGCCCCACAGGAGCCGCTGTTCGGGATGCTCACCGTGCCTCTGGCCTCCCCCCTGACCCAGCTGGAGGAGGAGTTGGTGCAGGAAGCGCTCGCTCTGTTCAAGCTGGTAGGTCGGTCTTCACAGCATCTCCCAGTCTCGTCCCCTTGGCCTCAGTTTGTCCAGAGCTTCTCCTTGGGCTCTGGGTGGGCGCAGAGGGCGGGGAGCGAGGCCGGGTGGGTGGGGAGGGAGGCTGGGTCAGTGCGGTGGGCGAGGAGGGAGGCCGGGTCCATCCAAGGGGTAGAAGGGTTCGTGGCCAACAGGCATTAGCTCAATAAATCAGTCTGGGCTGGAGGCCTGGGATAGCCCCTCCTGTCCTGCCTCCAGCCCTGGCCTGACTCTGCCGACCTGGCCCTCGGCATGTGCTCCAAGGGGCCTTTCAGCAGGGACAGAGAAGAGACGACTGCCAGGAGTGCCCAGCATTACTAGGGGACCCTGCGGCTTCCTCAGCGCCAGCCTGGTGCCCACGCTGGTGGTGGTAAAGCTCTCGACCCACCATCTCCACAGGGGTGAAACCGGCCCAGGGCGGTGGAGGTGGGGCAGGGAGCTGTTCAGGAGGTAGGACAAACCATTTCCCTAGGCGGGTGGGGAAGCACAGGGACGGGGTCCCTAGGGAGGGGGTGGAGTCTCCATCCCTGGAGGTGTTTAAGTCCCGGCTTGACAAAGCCCTGGCTGGGATGGTTGAGTGGAGGCTGGTCCTGCTCTGAGCAGGGGGCTGGACTAGACCCCTCCCGAGGTCCCTTCCCAGTCTGATCCGTCAAGAGCAGTTACAGCACCTGCGCACCATCCTCCCTGGCAAGGTGGGGGGCTCCCTGAGGGCGGGAGAAGATGGGGCCCTTCTCTGTGGGGAAGGGGGGGAGCCTGGCACCGGCAGGCATGTGCCCGCTGTGCTTGGGGCTACCTTTGGCAGGGATGAGGCGCTGCAGCGCAGGGCACCCCACTGCCCATTCCGTGTTGAGCTTGCAGCTCTGAAAGGACCAGGGCTGCTCCCCCTCCCTCTCCCCTGGGGCCAGCTCCTGCACCAGGCTGTGCATAGGGGCCTGCCCGGCCTCACCCTGCTCGCAGCAGCCCTGGCCCCCCTCCAGGAGAGGTGGTGACCCGGCACCAAGGCAGGGGCTGGGCGTGGCACGGACACAGCGCTGGGGCCAGCAGCTGCAGCGTGGGAGGCTCCACAGAGCTCGACGGTGCATCCCAGGAGAGAAATATCCAGGGGCCAGAAGGGGGCCGGTCTGTGCTTCGGGGGGACGTGACGGAGAGATTTCTGACCCTCCCCCGGGATCCCCTGTCTCCTGGCGGTAGATTCTGCGCTTCATGGGTGACCCGCAGCTCGGCGGCGTGCAGGAGGACCTGTTTGGGAACTACATCGTGCAGCGCGGGCTCACAGCGCCTGGCCTGCGGGACGAACTCCTGGCCCAGGTCGCCAACCAGGTGTGGCGCAACACCAACGTCAACAACGAGGAGCGGGGCTGGCTCCTCCTGGCCGCCTGCCTCAGCGGCTTCGCCCCTTCCGCCAGCCTGGAGAAACACCTGCTCAAGTGAGCTGGGGAGAGGGCCGGAGGGAGCCTGGAGGAGGCCGGCGAAAGGCCGAGCCTCACGGCTCCCCGGGGTTCCCAGTGCTTCTGAAAAATCCATCCCATCCCATCTCTCTGATGGTCCCAGTCCTCCCAGCCTCCTTACCTGCCAGTGACCCGTGGGAGCCAAGGGCATCCACACATACAGCTCCTCCCGGGGCTCAAACCTTCAACCTTCCACCCCCAGCCCTCTGGTTTGGACCCCTGGAGCTAAAGCAGGAACTCCTTTGGCTGGACAGCAGCAGTAAGCTGTTGTAATCCCTGGGCTGGTCTGTAGGGGGCGACATCAGCCCTCACGCAGGGTGTTCCCTCAGCACCTGGAACGGTTGGGACGGCCCTGGACAGGCCCCATTGTGGAAGGTGGCCCCCAGCGTTGCCTGGAGAGCCCCACCCAAGAGGCCACTGATGGGTCAGGGAAAGTCAAAGGGGGCTGGGTGCGACTCCGCTGTGCAGACACTCGCCTGGCCGGCCCGGCCCCCGCCCACGGCGTCCATCCTCCCTGGGCAGGTTTGTTTCCGACTACGCCTTCGACGGCTACAGGCCGGTGTGCCAGCACAAGCTGATGCGGGCCATGCTGAAGTCCCAGCTTGGCCCCGAGGCGGCCCGCACCTACCCGCCCTCGCTGCTGGAGTGGACGGGCAGCAGGCAGCGAGCCAGCATGGCCTTGGACGTCTACTGCTTCAACGGTGAGGGGCCTCCTGGACGAAGCCGGGGGCCTCCGGCAAGACTCAGCAGGGCGGGGCGATTGAGGGGGGTTGCGAGGAGCGTTTCTGCCGCTGCCCTGGTGGGGCTGGCTGGCGCCCGGCTCAGTGGGACTCACAGGGGTCAGCGAGAGCAGAAGGTTCCCCAGAGTCTGGGATCTCAGGGGACTGGCCCTAAGGCGAGAGAGGGTGTGGGGGAAGCAGGGAGGCAGGGCCGATCAGGCCTTCGAGGCAGACCTCCATCTGGGCAGGGATGAGGGATGGGGGTTTGGGGTGCAGTAAATTGGGGGCTCGGTAACATGCAGCGATTTGACGGTCTGCTCTTAACTTCCCAGGGGACCAGTTCTCCTGCCCCATCCATTCCTGGAGCACCGGGGAGGAGCTGGCAGGAGACGTCCTGAAGCACAGGTACGGGGGCTTTGGCCCTGCCTCCCCGCCTCCCGCCCTATGGACCTGCCTGCTCCGTGTCCCACAGGGACTGTAAGGCCTTGGGGGTAACATGCAGCGATTTGACGGTCTGCTCTTAACTTCCCAGGGGACCAGTTCTCCTGCCCCATCCATTCCTGGAGCACCGGGGAGGAGCTGGCAGGAGACGTCCTGAAGCACAGGTACGGGGGCTTTGGCCCTGCCTCCCCGCCTCCCGCCCTATGGACCTGCCTGCTCCGTGTCCCACAGGGACTGTAAGGCCTTGGGCGTCCTGGCTCTGTGCGAGGCAGAGCCGGTAGGGCTGGGGAGCTCTGGTCACGTGAGCAGCAGTGACTAACCAGCGGGACGCAGTGTGGATCCAGAATCCCGAGGGACAGTGTTCAGGTGGATCTGGGGAGCGAGGGGGCTGGTCCAGGACCCATCCCGAGCCGAATGCCACCCCTTGCGATGTGTAAAGCAGCGAGCCCTTCCCCAGCAGGGCCGTGGGCTGTCCCAGCAGCTGCGGGCTGGGGAACTCACGGGGCCCTGTTCTGATGTGGGTGGGATTATCAGAGCTGCTGCTGGGTCTCGGTGCACGAAGCGCGGGAGGGCCAAGGCCTGACCTAGGGGGGCTGAGCAGGCAGGGCTTCTCCCATGGCAACTGGCCCTGTCCCCTTTTCGCTGCGTCCTTCCCCTCCCCACGGGAGGGCACTCTCCTGGCTCAGCGCCCTTGCTTTGCCGGCAGGGGGCTGACAGAAGGTTGGCGGGGCTGGTCCGTCTCCATGAAGGACGGCGCCCAGTGGGCTGAGCTGGCTGGGCACGATTACATCCTGGACCTCGTTTCCGACCTGGAGCTGCCTCGGGGCTTCCCCAAGCAGAAATCTTATTTCATCATCGCTTCCGAAGGGGCGGAGGAGGGCAGCGGCGCCACCAGCGCGTAGGTACCCGGGGCTGCTGAGGAGCTGGGTGGGCCGCAGCAGCTGTGGGGGGATCAGACCCTGAATCCCTTCCCAGATGGGCAGACCTGTTCCTGAGCCACTCGGAGGTTCTGGGCGCCCTCCACAGCAGCCCTGCCCTTTCGAAGCACCTGATCATTCAGCTGCATAGTGTGCAGCATACGCACCATGGCATGCGCCGGAGCTGCCTTCCAAGAAGCAAGAGGTGTGGCCTGGAGAGGAGGTGTGGCCTGGAGAGGGAGGCGTGGCCTGGAGAGGAGGTGTGGCCTCTGGAGGGAGCTGAGCATAGGACTGGGAGCCAGGAACAGTGGGGGGGATGCGAGATCAGCAGTTGATGGGAGCCTTCAGCCAGGCTGGGACTTGAACCTATGAGCAGCGTGGTGCAGACCGGCCCTGCCGCCTGGCCCAGCAGCCTTGCCTGGCCTCAGAGCTGGCTGCATGCGGGGTCTCCACCTCCGTGTGTCTCCAACGCGAAGGTACCAGCAGCAGGCTGGCGTCTCCAGCAGACAAAGGGAGAGCAACAGGGGTGGAGGTTAAACAGCTGTTCCCTCTCTGTGCCCCTCCCTGTTCTCTGTAGAGTATTCGGACAGGGCTTGGACTCGGATGAGGAAGTCCCTCCCCCTCCGCTCACCAAGGCCCCCACGGGGCCGCCTCCAAACACCCCTGGCTCAGAGGGATATTACTGTCGTGGTAAGCGTCCAGCTCTCCTCTGGGCGTCCTTCCTTCAGACTGGGCCCCTCTTTCCACAGCCAAAGCAGCGTGGCCACGTCTCTCCCGGTCGCTTCACAACCCAGCTCGAAATCACCTTGGCCTTAGAAAAAGGCCACCCTTCCCATAATGCACCGGACCACTCCTGGGGGTGGGGGGAGAGGGGACCTTCCTGACCTGGGTGGTGATGGGCAGATGCCATGAAGCATGCGATTTAGTCCCACACACCCCTTTCGCCTGCAGAGATCAGTGTCACTAGGATCAGCTGTAGACTCTGGTGTGCAGGCAGGTTCAGGGTGGAATTACTAGCCAGCCACACGCCCCTGGTCAAACCCCAGCAACACCTTCCCCTTTGCCTGACTCTGCCTGTCGTGTCCCTGCTGGCAGATTCTGACACCGTCAGCGAACCTCGAATGCACAAGGGGTTGGATCGCTACCTGGACAGTCTGTTTGACCCAGTGCTGTCCTATGGGAATGGGGTAAGGACCGATCCCCATTGGGCTTGGGGGCCTGCCTGGCTTCACGGGGGGGGGGGATCATGAAAGACGTGAGGGGCTCAGCTACTAGGGACATGGCCCAGGTCAGGACCACAGTTAGACCAAGGGAGGCCCTGGCTTGCAGCAGTTTCACTGGGACCCTTTGGAGCGTGGGTCTAATTGGGGAGAGAACCACAGCAGAAAACTCTCAGGGCCGCAGGGTCTGTCTGCTAGCCTGGGCGCCTGCCCCAGTGGTAGCAGAGAGCTTTGGGGTTGGGAGGGGTTGAACAGCCTGTGGCTCCCTTTGAGTCTCTGGGACCTAAGGGCCTGTGTGGGCCCCAAAGACCCCACGAGGCTGGGTGGTGGCCTCTGTTCTCCCACTTCCTTCCCACCCCAGAGGTGGCTGCATTTCCCTAACAGGAGGCTTGACAGGTGCTGTCTAAACGCCCTTTGAGGTTTAGACCTCACCCACTGTGATGTTCTGGGAGTGTATTCTTGTCTCCTGTGCTGTGCCGGGCAGCAGGAAGGGGCCCGGTTACACGGCAGTCAGGAAGGCTGGCTGGGGCCCATGCCCACCTCTAGGGTGGCGGAACCATTAGCTGGGCCCCGCAAGTGGGGCCTGGGGACAGGTGGCCCTGGGAGAAGCTCAGAGACACGGGACCGCAGTTGTTACAACAATCCCGGGGCCGAGGTCACGTTTGCTCCCTACCCGCCCATTGCGAGCGCAGCGTGACTGGGGACGGAGCTGTCACTTGATCTCCCTGGCCCGGATGTTCCCTGGCACTGTCTGCCATGGCGGGGGTCACTTTCCAGCCTGCCCCCAAAGCTCCCGCCCCGCCACTGTCCGCCCTTTGTTTGCTCCACTCCTGCCTCCCGCCGGCACCAGGACTTGGAGAAGCCGGCGGCTGTCTCCCGCAAGATGAAAGGAGGAGGCCAGGTTGGAGGTGGGAGCAGCAACAGCAGCGTGGACCAAAGCCGCGCCAGGGCCCCCAGGGAGACCGGTGAGTGTGGGCAGAGCCCCGTGGCCGTGCCTGGGGAAATGGGGGGCGGGAGGCAGGACTCCTGGATTATAGTCCCAGCTCTGCCACGGGCCAGCAGGGCAGATGGGGAGCTCAACAAGGCCATTCCCATATCCGTAGCCCTCCTGCAATGAGGGCGCTGGGAGCGACGTGCCTGTATGGCTGCCCCCAGGACGGTCCATTAGCGAGTCTCCCTGCTGCAGAATACGGGACTTTTTGGAGCATAGTTCAGACAGGATCCAGCCCAGGCTGGTAAGGGAGGGGTGGCGCTGCGGGGCCAAGGAAAGGTGGAGAGGGCTCTTTGCAGCCATGGACGCGAGGAGCCAGGTGAGAGTGAAGCAGAGTGCTCCTGAGTCACTGGGCTGCGCACTCTGCCCCAGCTTTCCCAGTGACTCTGTCCTCTCCGGGTCCATGCCCTGGGCCCGCCGGAGCCCCAGCGAGGCTGTGTGCACACGGCCAGGCTCTGGCCTTTGCTGGACTTGCCCTCCCCTGCACGCGCCTGGGACACCAAGCACTTCCTGCTCCCAGCTCCCTCCTCTTTGCCCTTGCAGGTTTGCAGGAATCCACCCTGGAACTGCGGCGGGACCCTATCCAGGTCAGTGGGGGCAGGGCAGGCGGGGGGCCCAGCAGGAGGCAGCACTGAGATGTGATGCAGCCCGCGCGTGCTGGGATGTTTGTCCACGATTCCAGCCCAGCGCCTTCGAGAGGCGTAAATCCCTGCCGGGAGAGTCACCGGGGCACTTGGGCTGGGCAGAGCCCCAGGCACAAGGGGGCGCTGGAGAGGGCGGGCCCCAGGCACAAGGGGGCGCTGGAGAGGGCGGGCCCCAGGCACAAGGGGGCGCTGGAGAGGGCGGGCCCCAGGCACAAGGGGGCGCTGGAGAGGGCGGGCCCCAGGCACAAGGGGGCGCTGGAGAGGGCGGGCCCCAGGCACAAGGGGGCGCTGGAGAGGGCGGGCCCCAGGCACAAGGGGGCGCTGGAGAGGGCGGGCCCCAGGCACAAGGGGGCGCTGGAGAGGGCGGGCCCCAGGCACAAGGGGGCGCTGGAGAGGGCGGGCCCCAGGCACAAGGGGGCGCTGGAGAGGGCGGGCCCCAGGCACAAGGGGGCGCTGGAGAGGGCGGGCCCCAGGCACAAGGGGGCGCTGGAGAGGGCGGGCCCCAGGCACAAGGGGGCGCTGGAGAGGGCGGGCCCCAGGCACAAGGGGGCGCTGGAGAGGGCGGGCCCCAGGCACAAGGGGGCGCTGGAGAGGGCGGGCCCCAGGCACAAGGGGGCGCTGGAGAGGGCGGGCCCCAGGCACAAGGGGGCGCTGGAGAGGGCGGGCCCCAGGCACAAGGGGGCGCTGGAGAGGGCGGGCCCCAGGCACAAGGGGGCGCTGGAGAGGGCGGGCCCCAGGCACAAGGGGGCGCTGGAGAGGGCGGGCCCCAGGCACAAGGGGGCGCTGGAGAGGGCGGGCCCCAGGCACAAGGGGGCGCTGGAGAGGGCGGGCCCCAGGCACAAGGGGGCGCTGGAAAGGGCGGGCCCCAGGGACTTTGAGGTTTCAATGTTCCCCTCCCCGGGGCTGCACAGCTGCAAATGATTCTTAGGCACCGCATAGGAAAGTGGCGGGGGGGTAAACTTTCTCATGGACACTCTGGGGTGATGTACCGGTGGCTCCACAGTGAGCGATATTCGGTGTTTATATTCGGACGTCACAACACTCCTGCCCCTCAGCTGAGCTGGCAGGGACCCAGCCCAGCTGGCAAGCCGGGCCGGTGACGGGAGAGCCCACCACACAGGCAGCAGGACGCGTAGCCCGTTGGCCAGGCACGTGGGCACAATCCTCTTCCTGTTACAGCCCCGCTGGCCCAAACCCTGCCCCACCGGGCCCTGCTCGCACCCCGGGAGGGAACACCCAGGAGCAGCTCACCCGGCTGGGACTGGGCGCCACCACCAATGACTTACCAGCTGGGAGGCTGGCGT